ACACAATCTGGCTCGGAAGCGATACAAAAACAACATCGTAGAGCCGGATATATCACAAGCAAGCGCACGCACACACAAACGCACGTGCGCGCACATACACAAACGCATGCGTACACACCTCTATGGTACACACAAACACACTTCGGCCTACCTGTCTCGCGGCTGTGAGCGTCCCGTCAACGTCAAACAGACAGAGCGTGCTCGGGTCCTCGGCGGCTCTTCTCATCTTCCTGTCTCTCTGCCGCTGCCTGTCTCACTGAAGATGAGTGTCTCCTCTGTCCCTCAGTGTCCTCAGTCTTTGTCGCTTTGCTCCAAGAGTTCTTGTATGCCTCTCGTCCTCGCCCTTCACATCTGCAAAAGTGCAGAAATCGCAACTTCTTCTTCTTTGTGTTTAATGGCGGGTGGCACCTAACGTTTAAGGTGCATTACCGCCACCTACTATGCTGGAGTGTGACTGTGGACCACATGGGGAAAACAGTGAGCTACAAGGAAGAAGAAAAAGGAAAACAAATTAAATATAATTAAAAAAATCTCTTCATCAACCCAGTATTTTTTAAGAACTCAAATGAAGTTGTCTTTCTCGCAACTCAAGAGATTCTCAAGATATTCTCAAGATTTAACAATCCTCCACATTTCTTTAACTTTCTTCTCTGTGTTTTATACATCTGGCAGTGACAGCATGTTCTACCTTTTCTTCGTCTAATCCACATTCACATGCTTCTGATGGATGTTAACTACTTCTGCTTCCTCTTCTTTGGGTTTTACTTACCATCACCTTTCTGTTCCAGTGTGGAGTAGACAATACCTAAAGTTCTCAATCTCCCCCATATAAAAAAACACACAAAACCAACGATAATAAAACACCTCACCTCTGTGCCCCCCTTACTCATGCTCAATACTCCCTTTAAAGTGACATCCTGTTCTCCTACCTCCTTTAAATGATTCATCAACATCTCTCTCTGTGCTTTATACTTTATACATCTATCGAATCCTCCTCCATGACCTTGGTTGACCTCACATATTGAGACTTCAACTGATTGTTAATTAACAAGGAAATACTCTGTTGGTGGCAATGAACGTGGAGATTTTCAAGTTGGATCTTTGAGGAGACTTCATTAGCTGTAAAACAACACATTGAAGAAAGATGTTGAAGTTTACACACACTGTACACACACACACACACACTGTACACACACACACACACACTGTACACACACACACTACACACACACACTGTACACACACACTGTACACTCACACACTGTACACACACACACACACACACACACACTGTACACACACACACACACACACTGTACACACACACACACACACACACACTGTACACACACACACACGGATAGCAGAAAACTAAATGAGCTTCAAGATGAAAAGAGTGACATTAAGAGAAACCAAGCACTGTGTGACCTGCCTCTTTTAAATAAAGGCCACTTGCAGTAAATCAATGTCTGTGTCACACAGTCACAGGTTATAGCCCCAATATTCATCTGGGACAACAAAATGTTCCCTACTCTGTTTCATTTTCGACAGACCCGAAGAGGTAAAGTTAGAGGTTATCAGAGAAAAAATAACATTTCCAGTCCCTGGCCTCTTCATTAGGTACACCTACACATCTAATACAATCATTTGAATAATAATAGCCTTTATATGTAAAGTTTTAGTTTCATCAACACTTCTCTAACTTCTGGTCACTTTCCAAACAGTCTCAAGGAGGCAAGAGTAAACCCTCTCCTAAAGAAACCCACTCTCAACCCGTCTGATGTTATAAACTATAGGCCTGTCTCTCTCCTCCCGTTCCTGTCTAAAACACTTGAACGCGCTGTCTTTAAACAACTCTCCTGCTATCTCCATCAGAACAACCTTCTGGATCCGCACCAGTCTGGTTTCAAGGCAGGTCACTCCTAGGGATGAACCTTATGAAGGGCCTTTCAATCCGGAAAGGTGCAAGGAATGACAAGATCTCCTTTTATGTTAAATGGGAGAAGAGTTCATTGTAGTACTATTGTTAGAGCAGTCTGAAAAAAAAGATCAAATAAATATAAACACAAACTTCCCCTAGGCAAGGCTACTTACGTTTTCAGTGTGAAGTACAAAGGCTAGCTGTTTGCGGTATACATTACACAAAAAGCTACAGTGTATCTGCTCCACCTGTTAAATAGTAACTGTAAACTAGGACTTGTTGCTAGGTTGGCATGTTTTCACTGATTCCGGTTTAATGCCAAGCCAAGCTCTAATTCTTACAAATTCTAAAATACACATTTTGGAAAACCCTGCTATACATTTTTTTTTAATGTTACAGTTGATGATGTAAACTATAATTACAATAACAACATACCGGTAAATGTTTTTTGCCATTATATCTAAATGTCGCACCAAAACAGAGGAAAGCATTTGCTGCTTTTGATTTAAAAAAATGAGAGGAATCCAACTCTATGGCTTCATATTTAGGCCAAACTTTGGTGCTGCCTACCGTTATTTTGTTCATGTTGTTATATTGGCTGAAAGGGCTTAACTTTGTCACGATTAAATGATCATCAACCCATCGCATCAACAAAAGGAAGAACATTTTGCTAATGTGCTTATTTGATATGCATTTGCCTGAGCCAACCCCACCCCCAAAGAAAACACATCTAAATATATAAGTACTGTATTTATTTGTTATTCTTTTCTTTTCACTATCTCTGTAAAGCAACTTTGAGCACCCGTAAAAGCGCTTACAAAATAAATCTAGTGTTATTATTATGAAATGCAGAGGTGACCTGAAGCCAAAGTGCTTAGCTCTGATCGCCCTCCATTCACTCAAACTGGGTTTATCATTTACATCACCTGCAAAAAGAGAGAAGGAAACAGAAAATGCTGCATAAAACTCACAGTAGTTACATAAGATCACGTACTCACACGGAACCAAGCCAACATCCAGCCATGATCACACATGCTCCAGCAGGTTGAACAAAGTGTCATGCAAAGAAAGAGGAGCAGCATAAATACTGATGGTATAAGAACACAAACACACACAAAATATAAAGCTATATTCAATCAATTCATTTTGTATTGGACTCATCTGCACCCACATACCCAAGCTCCCTTCTAAAAGAGCATCATGTGACCAATCCAACACTTTCCTCTGACACTAGTTTCTGATTTCCATTTGGACCAGGTGATTGTAATTGTAATGAAAGGATGAGTAATGCAAATGTGGTTTTCTGTCTGCCTCCTTAAAAGTCATTAGAAAAAGTAAAAATGTGTTTTTAAAGTCCTTTTACTTAAAGTTTCTGTGGCAGTCTGTTGAAGACGGGCCAGCAGAGGTCTTTTTAGTCCTGCAGCAGGATTAAAACATGCATTCATTCTCTGCTGGCTGTGGAGAATAGGAATGTACTTCCGGGTTATCAAACAAACACTTTTTTGTAATGCTTAGAAAAAGATCACCATGGGCATACATTCTCTCACAAACTTCCATTCACCCACCCTCCAAGGTGAGTTTGCAATCCACTTTCAAAGGGAATACAAATCGAACATCTTTTAAGTTTATGGTATAGCTATCTATTACAATAACCAGCAGGAGTAAGGCGAATTATGTAAAAAGAATTCCCATGCAGTAAAGGCAAAAGCTAAACTGAACATTTCCACTGCTTATTAATTAAATATTAGGGTGCTTTAAAAAGAAAAACATAGGCTGGTATTGGGCTTCTCTTTATATGGAAATGGATTAATTTTTACTTTTATTTCATTACATCACACAATGTTATGAAGATCTAATTAATAGCAGATGTCAAATATTTTGTTTTCCAGTAGCCTATGTAATATATATAGTTTTATTTGCATCAATTTATTAAACTGTAATAGTGTCTGTTGTTACTTTGACCTGGATCTAGTTTTATATAGCCTTTGTAATTGGATTCCAAAGAGTAAAGTCTATTTTTTATTTTCTTTCTGTTAAAATTAGCAGTTTGTTTTTACTTGACTTAACCAGGGCAGTTTTAGTCGATTCCTTTTTGAATGCAGCTTGCTGAATAAAAAACGGTCCTGTAGTTGTTTTCTGCGGCTGTCAGTCTCTTGTAGAAAACAAACGGTTAAACTCTCATGAAACCCCGACCACACATAAACAGACTGTGATAGTTTGACTCGGAGCAAACAAAGGACTTTTCGCGCCGTGTGTTTAAAAGCCCAGTTCAACCAATCAGCGTGCAATCAAAGCACACGAACGTAATGTCGCATCCTCACATAATCCAACCAATCACAGTGGCACGTCTTTCTCTTTCCCTACGTTCAAATGTAAATGCTGAAATCTGGCCAATCGGCTGATGGCGGGGAGGAGCTGTGGAATTACATCTAGTTAAGTTAGTTTGGCTCGCAGGCAGTGACAAAACAGCCAAGCTTTTGTCCTCCTTCAGTCGAGTCGTTCACAACTTGTCTTGCTCAGAACAGGTAAGGCCCCGCCGTTTTTACATGTTGTCTTGGTAATGTTCTTACCGAATGTCTGAGGCGCTCTTATTTGTGTTATATTTCGGGCGACCAGATATTCTATTTGTGCATATTTACAACCTAGAGACTTTAGTCCATCTAAATCGTTTATGTTACGTTAACATACGAAACCTTATTAATAGTTAAATCATTACATTGCTATAATGTGTCGCACGTTAGTTTTTGTACTGTGTTTAATCCAAGTTCCAAACTGTTGAGTTTGGGTCTTGGTCGGTTTTGAGACACAGGCCTGTTAAGCCTTTTGCTGTGTGCGCAACATGCAGTTCAAACGCCATTTGGTTTGGTAGCTTAGCCTGCTAGCGTTAGCTGTAGAGTCCGTAGCTCCATATTTTAAAGTTTGAGTGCGCAATTTGGTTAAGAATCAAGCGGATGATAAATACAATGTATAAGGCACAGACCTCACAGACCTCTCGTGTGAAATGTATAATTATACATTGGGTTACTTTAAGTAACCTTTTTGGCGCAGATTAGTTTAGGCGGGAAGATCCAAAATGGAGTCACGTCTTTTTGTCCCAGATCATTAGAAATTCGATTAGAACAGTACTAGAACTAGCTTGCTTACATTGTGATTTGGAAATGTTGAACGACGTTGAATCTTGAAATATTAGCTCTCCGAAAAGTTAATGTAATAGTTAATTTGCACTAGAGTAAGTCTTAAACTTACCTAATGTCACTGCATGTCCAGTTGCTTTGTCCCTATGTTGGTTCGTTGTGTTTTAATGTAATATTTTTGCCTCGTTTCTAGAGCAATGCCGGCCGCGAGAAAGGACCCAAATAAGCCCAGAGGAAAGACCTCCTCCTATGCTTTCTTTGTTGCAACATGCCGCGAAGAGCACAAAAAGAAGCACCCTGGAACCAGCGTAGGCTTTGCAGAGTTTTCCAAGAAATGCTCTGAGAGATGGAAGGTACAATGTTCAATTATTTTAATTCCCATATTGTATATTCAATGATAGTAGACAATGTAAAACATACTATATAGTTGTATAAGTATTTTGAGTCGGGGTAGAATTGTGTTTTTATCAATGTCTGATATTTGGGGACAACTTCATCAGAATTTTGGGAAATGTATAACTTTTTTCCCTTCTCCCCCTCCATAGACCATGTCAGCCAAGGAGAAGGTAAAGTTTGAGGATTTGGCTAAGAATGACAAGGTTAGGTATGAGCGAGAGATGAAGACATACATCCCTCCAAAAGGTGCACCTGGCGCTGGCAAAAAGAAAAAGGACCCCAACGCACCAAAAAGACCACCGTAAGTCTAAAACCCTCACCATGCTGCCTGATGTAGGGCTTTAAAAACCGAAGAGCCGACAAATATGTTCAACAATATTACTTTTATCCATGTATTTTTCTTTTAATGTTTATTTTATTAGCTTTTCTTTTTAATGACTGATTTTAAATGCCATTTTCTTAATCTCTTTCATTTTTTGTAAAGCTATATAAATAGCCTTGCCTTGCAATAGAGTTGTGAATGTGCAAATGGCAGTGGTGCTTTCTGGCATTAATTATTGTCCCTGCCCCTTCCCCCAGTTCCGCTTTCTTCGTGTTCTGCTCAGATCACCGTGGCAAAATCAAGGAAGAGCATCCTGGTATCACTATCGGTGACATCGCCAAGAAGCTTGGAGAGTTGTGGGGCACACAGACTCCCAAAGACAAGATTCCTTTTGAGGCAAGGGCTGCCAAACTGAAGGAGAAATATGAGAAGGTAACCTCCCGTTGTCCCGTATTTCTTTATTTTTATACATTAAATTCTATTGCCAGGTAAAAAATACAAATGCATACATTTGTATTAAATATATATATATATATGTAAAAAATACAAATGCATACATTTGTATTAAATATATATATATATATATATATATATATATAATACAAATGTATGCATATATAAATAAAGGTCAGGTCAAAACTCAGTCTAATTTCCTTACTTTTTTCCTTCTGTTTCACAGCTAAATCAAAGTGTATTCTATGTCATCTTAAACTGGCTAACATTGTTGAATGCTGAGTTCTCATGTTATGAAACTTAAAGTTTATCTTGGTGTAAACATAAAAGGACTTGTCTGACCACAACATTGTAGAGTTTGTCTCATGCGTTTGATTTTATTTTTAAGGATGTTGCCGCCTACAAAGCCAAGCTTAACCCAGGGAAGAGCGATGCTGGTAAGAAGGGTGGCCCTGGCAGGCCAGCTGCCAAGAAAGCAGTACCCGTTGACGACGACGATGATGATGATGATGACGACGAGGAGGACGACGATGATGATGATGACGACGATGATGAATAAATGGTTTATATCTCTGGGGGTGTGAATTCTGCAAAGGATTGTTCAGCTTAACTTTTGTGTGGATGATTTGAACAGTATAGCCTGCTGTCCCTGTTGGTCTGCCTCTGTAGGACACCAGACCTGTATTCCTTTTCAAGTTCAGGGATTTAGTTTTTATTTTGTCACTTAGTCCCCTAATTTTTTTTAAAAATAAATGTTTTCTGCTGAGCTCGAGTTTGTTACATCATAGGTCCTCGTTTCTATCAAAACGGGCAGCTAGATATACATTTCCTTCGAACATTCAATGGACTAAAACATGTACAAACAGTGGACAGCAGCAAATTGGTAAAGTTTTAAAGGTGTATCGTTTCTGGAAGCACTGCTTATGTTTTCTGTTTAGTGGTGCCGTTTCTTCACTGTCATTTTACAACCAAGTTATCTGTAGTTTAATTAAAAATGTGTGAAGCCATTTTTAATGTACTTTCATGTAAAAATGAAAACATTCATGTAGAACGGATTTTTTTTTTTGTAATAAAATTTTGTATATTATAACAGAGTGGGTCATTTTATTTGTTTATGCTACAGTGCCACTGACAAATTGCTCTAGATTGACTGTTAATTCTGCTATTGCTCAATTTAAAGGACATCAACATTTCCTTTTTCAACATGTCAGCCCCCTTGCTCCAGACAGTGTTTTCCAATAAGTACAAAAACGTAAAAATTCCACAAAAGTGGGTAACTGGAAAAAGTGATGGTGGAATTCACTCGTGTCTACAACAGGAACTGATCTGGGGAGAAAACCCAGAGGTGACTCAAGTGTACCTTGAACTTTTTCTGAACTACATTACTCTACCTGACTTGTTAGTTCACTGAAAGAAAACGTACGCAACTAAAGCAGTACCACAATAAAAGAACTGTTCAAACAATACTTTCACTCCAGTTAGTGTAGCCAGTCATTTGTGTCACTTCACTAGGCAGCGGGTGAAGGCTGCACATTTTGATTTGTTGGCTGCAAAACTTAATGGATATTTAATAACGTTTTGTATTTAAAACATAATCCATTAAGTTGAAGTGGTGGCAGAAGTATTCTTGCCATCAAAATAAAGAAGATTAATAGTATGAAGTAATGTAAAGATACTTTCACTGATGATAAAGGGCATGCATGGTGGTGTGTTGGCTATGCTTACCCTGCACCCAGTCAAAGGGATTTGCATTAAAAAGTTGAAACTGTTAAAGGACAAACCTTAATAAAACCTGAAAGACATATTTCAGAAAATGAATATATATGTATATAGGTGCTGAGTCTTCTGTAATATGTATGTCATGTTCTGTTTGTATCACCATATTTTCTGGGTTATGAGATGTCTGATTCTGACTCCCCCATCACTCTGTGACTCCCCAGTCACTGCTGTGGAGTCTTTCCGCTTCCTGGGCAGCATCATCGCCCAGGACCTCAAATGGGAGCAGAACATCTGCTCCCTCACCAAAAAAGCCCAGCAGAGGATGTTCTTCCTGAGGCAGCTGAAGAAATTCAACCTGCCAAATACGATGATGGTGAACTTCTACACCTCTATCATGGAGTCCATCCTCACCTCCTCCATCACCATCTGGTACGCTGCAGCCACAGCCAAGGATAAGGGCCGGCTGCAGTGTGTCATCCGCTCTGCAGAGAAGGTGATCGGCTGCAATCTGCCATCCCTCCACGACCTCCAGGACCCTGAGGCGGGTAGGGAAGATAGTGGCCGACCCCTCCCACCCTGGACACAAACTGCGCTCCATCAGGACCAAAACCTCTCGTCACCTGGACAGTTTCTTCCCCTCCGCTACGGCCACCTCAACAAGGCCCGGTCCCCACTGACACTTTACCTCAGCCTCAACGCAGACTCTATACATTACATTAATGCACACAATGTTGACAATATCAGTTTTTTTTTTACTGCACATATTTTATATTTTATTCCATTGTATTTCAGTGTAAATACTATTTTGTTGTGTTCTTAAAATAGTTCTATGTTTTTTTTGTTTTTTGTTTACTTTTATGTATGCACTACAACACCAAGTCAAATTCCTCGTACGTGTGAACCTACTTGGTAATAAACCTTTATGTTGAGTGTTGTAGGGTAAAACATTACATTTCCTTTCGTTGGGCTCAAACATATGGAGGACGGAACATGACTTAAGTATAAATAAATAAATGTATGAAGAAATACAGGAATAAATAAATTACGTACATAAATACAGGAATAAATAAATAAATACGTAAATAAATAAATAAATACAGGAATAAATAAATGACGAAATAAATACAGAAATAAATAAATGTTGAAATGAATACACAAATAAATAAATAAAAGAATAAATGCATAAATAAATATGGAAATAAATACATCAATGTATAAATAAATAAATGTCGAAAATAAAACAGAACACACGTTATTATTATATATCTTTCATTTATTTCTACATTTACGCGACATACATTTATTTATTTATGTATTTATGTGTCCGTATGCTAATGAGGTGGGCGGTCCTAACCTCAGTCTGAAGCAGGATTCGCCAATTGTTGGAGCCAGGCAGAAGCAATAGATTTGTGGCAAGTCACATCATGTCGAGCTGAGCCAAGTCCTCTATACATCGTTCCACACGAAACTGGACATAATCTTTTGGTTCTCCGTTCTCTAAATGGTCCGCTAATGATCGTAAATGATCTCCAATGGCTCTTAAATCAATATCCATAAATAAACCTTACAACTGTGGATAAACCATGGATGTATAAAGATAAGGGCTAAACAGTAAAGCTCCTGCATTCGAATCAGCGCGGTTATCCAGGCGTTAGTAGTAGAGCCCTCTGCCAGAAATGATCACACACTCCTGTAACCAATCCTGCTTCAGACTGAGGTTAGGACCGCCCACCTCATTAGCATACGGACACATAAATACATAAATAAATAAATGTATGTTGCGTAAATGTAGAAATAAATGAAAGATATATAATAACGTGTGTTCTGTTTTATTTTCGACTTTATTTATTTATTTATACATTGATGTATTTATTTCCATATTTATTTATGCATTTATGTATGCATTTATTCTTTTATTTATTTATTTGTGTATTCATTTCAACATTTATTTATTTCTGTATTTATTTCGTCATTTATTTATTCCTGTATTTATTTATTCCTGTATTTATTTATTAATTTACGTATTTATTTATTTATTCCTGTATTTCTTCATACATTTATTTATTTATACTTAAGTCATGTTCCGTCCTCCATACAAACAAGCATAAGCAGGGGCGGATCTAGAAAAATATTCATGGGGTGGCAGGAGATTTTGAGGGGTGGCATCCTCTGGCAGATGTATGCTGATTTAATCGCAACGTTAACTTGGAAAGCCAGGGGGCTTTGCTGGTGACACAGTTGGTGATTTATTCAGAATTCAAGGCACACTTAACCAGCATGGATACCACAGCATTCTGCAGTAGTCAGCAAAATATAAATCATATTCTGGATTTTTTAACACTTTTTTGTTTACTAGATCATTCCATAGGCCTATGTGTTCTTTTATAGTTTTGATGTCTTCAGTATAAATCTACAATGTAGAAAAAATTAAAATAAATGAAAAAACTTCGAATTTGAAGGTGTGTCCAAACTTTTGACTGGTAGTGTACAAGGTCATCATCTTAACAGTCATCATCTTAACAGTTTTTAACAGCTGAATGTGGCGATTACCATTTTGTTCAACAAAACGCCTCAAAAACGTATTAAGATCCAAAGCTTTAGTGCGTTTTGATTCAATGCTGAGTACAGCCAAACTTGACAGTCTCTTCTCTGTCATTGCAGACCGGATGCTTCTCGTTTTGCGCCATCCCGTTCAAATGAAATCGCCGCCAATCACATTTTGAGGCTTGCGTCTTGTGAGGGTCGGCTCTAGAACAAATCGAATGGGGGGGCAATCATTTACCACGGGGGGGGCACATCAGTGGTGTCAACCAGTAGCGCACCTATGATGTGTGCATACATGCACGGTTGTGGCACAGCCACCAAAACAGAAACATATGGACATAGGCCAACATATAAAAAGTGTGCAGATGTATTTAGTATCCTATCCATGTTTTAGGTGGGTGATGGACCTAACATCCTCTAGGCTAAGGGGGGTCCGGGGGCATGCTTTTTTAAATATTGAAGTTAAAAGCATCAATCTGGTGCACTTTGAGAGCAACATTAAGAGTACTATGGATACATCTCTCAACACCCAGATGAAACAGAACTGTAAACAGATTTTTCTTTATGTATATTTTACAAATCACTCCCCTTTTAAACTCTTGTTTTGTCATATAGTATCTCATAACTGTTTTTCATGTATTCTCTCTGGCTGTCCATCTCATAATGTTCACATAGAAACTAGCTGTCAATAGGAAATATCAATCAGAAGAATTATAATTTCATGCAAAAATCTGTCACAAAAAGAGGTTGCACATTTAAATGCAGGTGTTGTTATGGCAACGTCAGTGGCCAAACAGCCATATTTACTGCTGCAAATACGTTCAAACATGCTGTCGACACGTAAAGCAGTGGCAACTATGCCACCATTTCAGCTGACTTTTTCTCAGAAATACTGTCACATAACATCCATATATTTCAGTGCTAGGTTGATGCTTAGCTAACTATGAAACACTTTAACTGACAGGACTCAGGATCAAGGCAGCTTCTAGCTTCATGTCGAACAGTAAGTCAACATTTCCCAGAGAGCTTTCTTTGAAATCACCAGGTAACGCTAAAAAACACAACATTTAGATTTAGAAGTATATGGCTAGCTATAGCTACTTGCTAACGGTTTAGCTTGCCCCCGCGATTCAAATAACGTCAACGTAGCTGTAATTTATGCTTTGCTTACATGTTCGCATAACTTGGAAGTTTACTGACATTTACATACCTTGTTTACCTGGCTCAGGTGGTGGCTCTGGGGTTGTTCAATTCAATTCAATTCAAAACCTTTATTTATCCAGGTAAAATCCCATTGAGATCAATGATCTCTTTGTCAAGGGAGACCTGCAGCAGTAGGTTCCACAAGAAGACATAAAAACATAAACAACAGAACAACAAAAGGACATCATACAGCAAAATGTACAGGGATTACAATTTACATATCTAACCACATGTACAGGTACCAACAGCATCTGATTTTGTAGCATCCAACCGAGCTTTAAAAACATGTAGTGGTACTAGCTTGGTAATTTTCCATTCTTTTTGCAGACTGTTCCATGTTAGTGGAGCTGCACATCTGAAAGCTTTCTTCCCTAAGACAGTCCTAGCACTTGGCACATTTAATAAAACCACAGCATGCGATCTCAGGCAATAAGTACTTTCAATTCGCAGAGAGATCAGGGAGCAGATATAAGATGGTAGTTTATCCAACATGGCTTTGTAAATGAAAAAGTACCAGTGACTGAGCCTCCGTACAGTAAGTGATGGCATAACCGCCTTGGTATACAGGGTACAGTGATGCGTAAGTGCTTTACAATTTGTCAAAAATCTCAGTGCACTGTGATACGCAGCATCTAACTTGACCAGGTAATTGGCAGGTGCATTCATATATAACAAATCACCATAATCCAGCACAGGTCAAAAGGTCACAGTGACTAGCCTTTTCCTGGCCTCAAGCGAGAAACAGGACTTGTTCCTGTAGAAGAAACCTAGCCTAACCCTCAGCTTTTTAAGCAGGTTATTGACATGAATTTTAAAAGTGAGACAGTCATCAAGCCAGATACCCAAGTATTTGTAACAGGTAACCACTTCAAGTTGTATTTCTTGCGTAGTTACAATATCCAAAGCAGTCTCTGGTGTATTTTTAGCTTTAGCTTTAGAAAGAGCATTACCTTGGTTTTATCCACATTTAAAAGAAGCTTAAGCTCAGAGAGCTGAGCCTGAATAATGTTAAAAACAGCCTGTAATTTAACAACAGCCTCGTTAATCGAGGGACCTGCACAGTACATAACGGTATTGTCCGCATAAAAATGTAAGGTTGCTCCTTCGACATTTTCACCTAAACTATTAATATAGATAGAGAATAATAGCGGCCCTAAAACTGAACCTTGTTGTGTGAGCCACCAAGTAAAACTATACTTACCTTCAAAACCTCTCTTGAAGAGCACCTTCGGGGGAGAGCATTGCAAAACTGGCCCCGGTAATGGTACAAATCTCAACCTGTCGTTCAATGGACAGCTTCCCCCCCCCCCCATCTATGTATATACTCGCATTTTAGACTCTGTTACTAACTGTATATCTGTAGACTTGGTATGTCTTAAATGTCCGGTTAGGATGTATTAGAACGAAATCTAAAATGAAAATTGTAAATAAGCAATCTGTATGTAAAAAAACCACCTGTATGTAAATTGTAAATAAGCCATCTGTATGTCAAATATGTCTTATATGTCTTAAATGACATGATGAATTGGAAATGGGGGACCCTGATGTAAACAAGACGAAAGTCTTTCTCTGGTCTGCATCCCCTTAACAATTGTATGTTTTGAGCTGTACTGTACTGTACCCAATATACAAGCTGTTAATAAACTTTTCAATCAATCAATCAACCATTTGAGAATTGTATTTTTTAAGAAAAGATGCTCTTATGTCCATCTTCAAAAACTCTGAGTCCGACTGACAGTTTATTTTACACATTGTCACAGCTCACCGGATAGGTACCTGTCAGCCAATAAGACAGATGTTTATTTCCATTCAACGCTCTGGTTGGTCTGGTGTCTTGCCTCTGTTGCATTCATTGAACGCGGGAAATTACAATCCTGCCGTCCTCTCTAGTGTCATGATGAGGTTCAGGTAAAGCACGGTGAATGAGTTAATTGAGGTTAATTGAGGGAGAATTATCCGGGGCTACAGAAAAAACATTAGGGGCTTTGGTGGCAAGGCTATTTTTAGGGTGGCAGGGTTGCCTCCCCCCCGGTAGATCCGCCCGTGAGCATAAGGCATTTTTTCCCAATTCTTTCAGTGAACTAACAATAGTAAGTCTGGTAATGTAGTTTAGAACAATTTTAAGGTGCAGTTTACTTGAGTCTGTATTTTCGCGACTGTATATTTCCGCTGCACTCCATTTTAGAGTTAGCCTAAATAATGTTTTTGTGCACTGCTTTTATCTGAAACAGTTTTAGTCACCGGTTATTCAGTTTGTTAGATTATTTTGGAATGAACACCATAGTGACATTCTAAATGATCATTTATTCTGTATATCATTATTGACAATAAATCCCCCTCTCTCCCTCTCATCAACTGTTTTTGTAACACACACACACACACACACACACACACACACACACACACACACACACACACACACACACACACACACACACACACACACACACAGACACACACACACACACACACACACACACACACACACACACACACACACACACACACACACACACACACACACACACACACAACATCCCTACAATACACACAGTACAGAAGTAAACATCTTACTGACCCTTATGAAAGCCAATAGCTGAGCAGAATGATAATCCACAAGGACCAATCATCGCCGCCATCAGGCTCCACCCCCCGCAGAGCACCGTGAGCAGCATTTCAGCACCTGGAGCTGTCCGTGCTGCACGCGCCAGCCGACAACTGACGGTAAGGAAACACCGACAGCCTCCACCGACCTGCAGTTAGAATATACACAACGACGGACAGCATCACAGACATGACACGCTGCGGCTGTCCGTCACGCCGCTGCACTTTAAACGCGGACCTGCGACACTCGAGGGGCTCAAACACTGCGGACCTGTTGATGCCTCTATCTGAGGGACATTAGCCTTTAAACCGCATCAAACCGCAAAACCGCGTTTGTGGCGAGTGGTTGCAGAAATGAAGGGGGAATATACTGAGTGTGTGAGGGAGTGTGTGTTAGCTCCGGGTCTGCACAGGTGTCAGTATTGGTGTTTGGGTCTGAATAGATGCATCCTCTGGTAGCTGGGGCCTATTGATCGCCTACAAAAATGGAGCGCGGCTTCTGCAATTTGCAAGGAAAAACATAGATTTGTTTTCTTATAACCGGGTACTTTATAGGCTCTAATACATGCTGCTAAAACAGCATTGAGAGCTGGCAGCACATTGTCTCACGACGACATGTTTCATTGGAGCGGCTTATGTTATGGTTTCATTCTGTTTTGAAGAGTGTGAGCTGATCTAGCCTATACCCTATAGAGAGCAGCGTTTAGAGATGGCAAGTCTTAAATGGTCTCCATGGAGCACATTTAGTGTTAATAGACCCATTTAAGAAAATGATAAGATCCCATCAGATTCCAAATGCAAACTACTGTCTGTTTCCCTGACACGGCAGTTAGGTTAACATGGTGCCGGCTTTCTTCCTGAGGACAAAGCTATATTTACCATCTAAATAAACTCGTTTATTTGCCTGATAACATAAGCATGTTAGCAATACAATGAAGTACAGCTGAGGCTGATGGGAACGTCTTAAGTCCTGCAGGTTTTTGGTCTTAAACCACTGAGTTGCTGAAATTGAAAATCTGGCCTGATCAGGGTGCTAGATAAATTATAAATGGACACTTAAGCAATAATAATTTATTCGAAAGGGGACATGAATGTGTGTCATTTCACGACAATCCAGCTGCTGAGCCATCTCACTTAAATACACGGATGTAACCTGGCACTAGAGAAACGTTGATATCACCAAAGTCAATATGACTTATTTTCCAGATAAACCAGAAATGTCTGTATCACATTTTATTTATGAAATGAACGTTCCTAATAGTTGCAGTATACCAGCGTTCACTTTTCTTAAAACAGCAGCCTATGGTGCAGACAAGATTGATCCATTAAATTAACAAACATGTCATTTAACATTCTGCATGATAGAAACACAACAACTCAAATTCAAAACTAAATACACCGAAGAAATATAGGATATGCCTTAAATCATGACACAATTGATTGCAAAGATATAGCTTAATGTACATAAGAAAAGAAACAACATGTACAGCAATGTAATCAATCTGTAGTTCCTTGGTGCATGCAATAAGCCCAAAATAAGGTGGTGACATATTTGATCTGTTGTTGACAGGAAGTACAGGTCGAGTCCTCACCGTGTTTCAAGACATGTGCTGTGTGCTCAACAATGGGACAACTGCACATGGTTAGCAGATTGGCACCTGACAGGAAGAGCTTAGGGTCACGGGTCAACAGGTATAAGAACATGTCCCTTATTAGGAAACCCCCCACCCCTGTCTAGGGGACCCGCCTTTCTCATGAAGCCTCAAAATGCTTGCTATTGTAAAGGTTGGAAAAATTTGATTTAAAAATGTATAAATACGACAAGCCGATGACAGTTCTCTATCCATGTTATTGACATTAGACGCTCTTACATTTCTATGGGTGTGAAGATCATCTTTTATTATTTCTAGGAGCATTTTAGTGAAGATGGTACCCAGCAACAGCCTGTAGATACAAAGGGATTGGTTTAACAGTTATCCCTTTTGGGGGGCTTTGCCCTCAATATAAACAAGATTACTAATACTAAACAATGTTTTTCTACAGGAGTCTTTTTAAGATTCTTGCTTTGTGTAGTCGTACTATGAGCACAGTCATTCAGATATTATACTGTTCAGTCATTGGTCAGTTCCTCACAGGGACACTAATTGCTCAGTAGATAAGCAGCCGTTTCAGCCAATCACAGCACAGATGAACTCAATCCTCTCTTTCTTTAATCATCTTATCCTTTACTAGCTGCTTAGCTCCGCTGCATGCTGTGAGTCACACTCTGGTATCAACAGAGCTGTTCACTGACATTCAATTATTGATCACAAATATGAGTTCAAGAGGTATTGATTCCAGTAGCGACGTTGGTGTTGCATTGGTCTGCATAACAACACCTAACAATGCAAGAACACAGATGATAATATTTCTGCTGACTAATCATACATTTACATTACAGTCATTCAGAGACTGAGAATCTAGGGATGATGTTTTTAATTTATTTATGTAGTTATTTGCAGTGAAGGAAATAATAATTTGATCCCCTGCAGATTTTGTAAGTAACTTACAAAGAAATGAACAGTCTGTCATTGTAATGGTAGGTTTATTTGAATAGAGTAAGAATATCAAAAAGAACATCCAGAAATGGACATTATATGAAAGATACAAATATATTTGCATTTGACTTTGGGAAATAAGTATTTGATCCCCTTGCAGAACATGTGTTAGTACTTGGTGGAGAAACCCTTGTTGGACACACAGAGGTCAGACCCTTCTTGAAGCTGGTCTCCAGGTACGCACATCTCAGGAAGGATGTTGGTCCACTCCTCTCTGAAGACCCTCTCCAAACCCTGCAGGTTTTGAGGCTGATGCTTGGCCTCTGGAAGCTTCAGCTCCCTCCACAGATGTTCTATGGGATTAAGGTCCGGAGACTGGCTAGGCCCCTCCCTCACCTGAATGTGCTTCTTCTTTAGCCCCTCCTGTGTTGCCTTGGCCGTATGTTCTGGGTCATTGTCCTGCTGGAAGACCCCTCCATGACCCATGTTCAGAGTCCTGGCTGAGGGAAGGAGGCTATCGGCCAAGATGTTAGGGTACATGGCCCCGTCCATCGTCTCCTTGATGCAGGGAAGTGGTCCTGTCCCCTTAGCAGAGAAACACCCCAAAGCAGAATGTTTCCACCTCCATGCTGACGGATGGTGTTCTGGGGTGATACTCAGCATCTCTCTTCCTCCAACACGGCGTGTCCAGTTGATGCCAAAGATCTCGATGTTGGTCTCATCTGACCACATCCTCTTCTCCCAAGCCTTCTCTGAATATTCAGATGTTCGTTGTCAAACTTCAGACGACCTCTCATGTTGTTCTTGAGCAGGGGGCCTTCAGGCGCTGCAGGGTTTGATCCATTATGGTGTAGTGTGTTACCAATAGTGTTCTTGGTGACTGTGGTCCCAGCTTCCTTGAGATCATTAGCAAGTTCCTCCGTGTAGTTCTGACCCCTCACCTTTCTCATGATCATCAAACCCCACGGGGCCAGATCTTGTGTGGAGCCCCAGCCCTCGCGAGGGCGACTGATGCTCATTTAGTCTTTCTTCCAGTCCTGAATAATGGCACCAACAGTGGTCTCCTTCTCTCCAAGCTGCTCTCTGATGGTCTTGTAGCCGATCCCAGCCTGGTGCAGGTCTACAGTCTGGTCCCTGAGGTCCTTAGACAGCTCTTTAGTCTGGCCCATGGTGGAGAGGTTGGAATCTGATTGGTTGATTCTGTGGACAGGTGTCTTTTATACAGGTAACCAATTGATGTTAGGAGTACTTTCTTAAAGGTAGAGCACTAACCGGTCTGTGGGAGCCAGGATTCTTGTTGGTTGCAAGGGGATCAAATACTTATTTCCCCCAGTTAAATGCAAATCAATTTTTACGTTTTATATGATGTACATTTCCGGATGTTCTTTTTGATATTCTGTCTCTCATTAGTAAAATAATCCTACCATTAAAATAATAGACTGTTCATTTCTTTGTAAGTGGGTAAACTTACTAAATCGGCAAGGGATCAAATCATTATTTCCTCCACTGTCATCTGAGACCAATTAGTCTGTTTAACATAAGATGGAAATACACAGAACATATGAATGAAAGCTATGCAAAGATGTCATCTTGTTCAAGGCCCATGATAAACCTTCATACATGTGTGTTTGTGTCTCCAGGTGAGATGTCCCGGGTGAAGCAGGTAGGTCTGCTGGCAGCAGGCTGTCAGCCCTGGAACAAAGATGTGTGTGCTGCCAGTGGAGAGCGCTTCGCCTACTGCGCCACTCTGGCTATATACATCTACCAGGTGATCTACTTGTCTGCCTTTGTTTTCATGTCTTACATTTAAAATGGCACATTATGCTAGCAGTTAGCTGTGTGAGCAGCTCTCACACACTGTTGGCGGTTTGTACATGTCCCATGGTTTGTACATGTCTCTTTAACACCCAGGCAGGAGGTAGCAGTGATCGCACACAGACACATAAGGACCTGTGTTGTTCCATCTGCAGTTTGAAGCTCTGATTCTGTAGCGTCTGTAGCGTCTTCTGTTTGTGTCTGCTGCTAGAAAAGAGGACATTGGGACACATACAAGTTTCCATGATACTAAGTAAATACTGTGTGCTCTCCCTCCCTTTCCTCGCCTACCCACTCACTCACTCACCCCTGTGTGTCGTCTAATCACCCCCACCAGGTTTTCAAAAAGAATACTGAAAGATAGAGTACAGTAGGTAATGAAAATAAAATGACATGCAAACAATAACATGGAGGGCTCTTACATTGTGTCTCTGCTGTGCTAATGTCATTGACAGCTTGCAATGCATCACTTCAAGCTAACTCTCATCTCTGTCAACAATCATTTACTACTGCAGAGCGGTTTCATGCAATTGCAGTAGCAAAATTGATGTTTAACGTAGCATCGATGTTTTTTCCTTTTGTTTACTTCATTATCATTTTCTCTGTCTCCTTGTTTTAGTTGGACCAGCAGTACAATGAATATAAGTTGAGGTCCATCATGTCTGAGCACAAGAAGACCATCACAGCCATCAGCTGGTGTCCTGACAACCCAGACTTGTTTGCATCGTCCTCAGCTGATAACCTGCTCATCATATGGAACGTAGCCGAACAAAAGGCTGTTGCCCGGCTGGACAACACTAAAGGTGGATGATGAGCTGCAGCAGGTGTTGTTGACAGGCGGTGTGTTGAGTACTGGGATGTCTCACAGTGTCTCCTCTGCTCCCCAGGTGTCCCTGCCTCAGTCAGCTGGTGCTGGAACCTAGCTGACGGAGTGGCCTTTGTCTCCCAACGTGGTCCGCTGTACATCTGGGTGTATGGAGGGCCTGACCCGGGGGTCACAGTGCATAAAGAAGCCCACTCCTTCCTGTCAGATATCTGTCTCTTCAGATGGCACCCAACCAAGAAAGGCAAACTGGTGTTTGGACACACAGATGGAAGTTTGTCTGTTTTTCAGCCAGGTATTTGAAAGAAATGGACTTTTCTCAACTCAATTAAATGTGGTTACCACAAATGATCATACATGTACAGTATTTGTGTGCCACTTGAGATATTCATTTGTCTTACATGCATTGCTTGGAGGTATTTAGTTTGGGGCTCATATAACAAATGTATACGATTTCGAAGTAGAAATTGTGTTTCATTTCACTGCATATGATTATTATCAAAGTTTCTCAGTAAAGTCAATTCAATGAATACCACATTTTCTTCAGAGTACCCTCCCTGGCGTTCAGCCTCCCTAAGAAATTCTTTCTTAGCATACTGTTTATAAAAATAAAGGTCTGTGAAGTTATACTTTGGAGACAGATTGCCATTTCCATTCCCATCCAGACTATAGCTTTGCACATGTAAGAAGATCTCATCATAACCGCCATGCGTCTCGACCATTGATCGCATTTTCTCTTCTAAAGTTGAATTGTACACTTCTCCTTGGGTTCCATAGCCAGAAGCATGTTCCTGTAAACACACAGCTGCTCTTTGATCCGCCCTCTCTTGTTCAGGGAGTAAAGGCCAAAAGCACGTGTTGCGTCCCGAGTCATTGGAAGGGACAGATGAAGAGGACCCAATCAGCGCTCTGGAATGGGACATTCTGTCAACTGACTATTTACTAGGTTGGACAAAATATTAACATCATCACCAGGATTATATCTGCTGAATTTAAAAAGAGCAAAACAATAACAACAAGACAAACAAAATGGAACAATAAAGTCCATTTTTATTTATACTACATAACGTTATTGTCAGTGTTTGCAGACACATAACAGGCTAGTAATCCAAACACTTAATCTGCTCTGTAATCCATTCAGTTATTGGTTCTAACAAAAATCGTAGTGACTGTTATTTCACACAGATGCTGAGTGATGAGCACGGTGTCTCTTTCTCAGTGTCTAACCTGCACAATGGGATCCGGCTGGTGGACAGCGAGGCCCTGGTGTGCATCACGTCCTTCTGCTTCCCCTCCGCTGCGGCCTCGGTGCAGTGCCTGGCCTGGGTCCCCTCGGCCCCCGGCATGTTCATCACTGGAGGTAAACACTATGTGTGTGGGAGGTGTGTATGGTCTGCCAAACTGCTCTGAGGGACCTGTTGTTGCCATCTGTCTGTGCACACAGTAGATGCATTTTTACTTGCATATTAATGACTACATGTGGCTTCTTAAAACCTCATTTACTATTAGACCATTTCAATAATAGATGAAGCTTATATCAAAGAAACCCTGCTACCCCATCATGACCATCAATTAGTCCCTCTGTGTTACCTTGAAGTCTGGAACAAAGCCACATGCCTCCATGGTGCATACAGAATCCAACACAGTGAGCTTGATGTATTGAATTGGATAACGCGTTGGGGGCTGCCTTTAACAACCTCTCACATCTCATGCAGTGAAATCCAAGTCCTATTGTTTACTACTTAGACACATGCAATTTCAGTAAAACCTTTCTTTTGGAAAATCTTCTGCCTAAAAGGTTTGGCACTACTCATCTATGTGAGTCCGGATGTGTTGCAGGGGTCTTTTAATATCGTTTTGTTGTTCAACACTATTATTTTCCTGCTAAGTTTTACAGACCAAAATAAATGTTGGAATGTTTTGTCTTATGAAACAAACCTTTGAAATGTTTTAAGTGGTTTGCCTCTCTCTGTCTGCAGACTCCCAGGTTGGGGTGTTGAGGGTCTGGAATGTGTCTCGCTCCACTCCTTTGGACAGCTTTAAACTGAAAAAGACTGGATTTCACGCTTTGCATGTCCTGAACTCCCCTCTTGCCAAGAAAGGTAACACTTGAACTAACCCAATGAACAAAGTGGTAGATACTCAAAAACCCATGAATCTCTGCTGAACAGGAGTTATTTTTCATGCTGGTATCAAACAACATTCTGTTCAAGTTCTACACAACATCCACATCTCTTTCCCCACAGATGTATTCTTCTAGAGCAGTGGTTCTCAACCTTTTTACACCACCTGAGAAAATACTCTCCAAGTACCACCTGAGAAAATACTCTCCAAGTACCCACCTGAGAAAATACTCTCCAAGTACCACCTGAGAAAATAGCTGGCTCTCCAAGTACCCCCTGAGAAAATAGCTGGCTCTCCAAGTACCCCCTGAGAAAATAGCTGGCTCTCCAAGTACCCCCTGAGAAAATAGCTGGCTCTCCAAGTACCCCCTGAGAAAATACTCTCCAGTACCAACCTGAGAAATACTCTCCAGTACCACCTGAGAAATACTCTCCAAGTACCCCCTGAGAAAATAGCTGGCTCTCCAAGTACCCCCTGAGAAAATAGCTGGCTCTCCAAGTACCCCCTGAGAAAATACTCTCCAATTACCACCATATGACCAAGTGTTAAAATACAGTTCATGCAGGACTCGGAGCACAGGTATTCATAATAACATTATTATATGTCAGCCACAACTACATGTACAAA